TCTCTTTATCAAGGGAGAAAAACCATTGTTGACAAATATTTTCAAGAGATAAAGAAAACAAGGAATGAAAGATTTACCTATCAATCCTCTTAATGTTCATTATGGCCTCGAATGTCCTTAAGTTGAAGTAAGGATTATTTGTTGCCTTGAACTTAGGGATGTCAGTGGCATTGAACTTCTGCGGAAGAAGTTCCTTGTCCACTAAGACCCCTTGTGAGCTAATGCCCTGGAATCTATAGTCATTGGATATTTTGCTCAAGCTTTCTTGAATGAGCTCCATTTATTTTTGTTTCACAAGGTCATTGATTAGAAGGGTTAAAGCCTTCAACACCTCAGTCATGTTAGCCATTTGCTTCTTAGGCTCATTGACTTCTTCTTGAATTGTCATTATCTTCTTAGCTTTTCTTTTTCGACTGACTAGTTTATCAAAAAGGTGTTGTCCTTGATTAATCGCCCTTCTATCCTTAACCAAGTACTGTAGAAAGGGAAATTAGGGATAATTTTTTTCTTTATTTATGTTGACTTAAGCTCTATTCAACATGTAAGAGAATGTGGAAGAGAATGGGAATAGATTGGACCCCCCACTCAAATGACGGAAGACGACTCATGCATTAACCTAGACATGGTCATGCTGTACATACATATTAGTGTGTACTTTATTAGTGAGTGCAAGTGACATGCTTTGACTCTTGTGTATGACCATGGAACTAAATGCTTAGACTCAATTAAGGACTAAATATAGCTACTGCCATTAATCTAACTGATCAAACTGATTCATAAATTGATTGATTAGAATCGTCGTGATGACTCGAGTAATAAACTGGACTGTCACCACACATTGAAGTGCAGCTCCAGACGACTGGGTTGTCGCCCGGCGTTGCACTGCAGCGTTTGGCGCCATAGCCCAAACTTTTGCGTCATTGCTGGAACATTGATCTGGGACTGTTTTCAGTATTTTTACTCTAAAGGGACATGGCTAAATTCGTACTAAGTCGGTTTGATTAATTTATTAGACTTTAATTACTCAAATTAATTAACTAAGAAAAGTCCTTTTAGTCATTAATTATTTTATTTAGACTCAATCACAAGTCAAACAAACGGTTAGTGTGAACACACATAGGTTATGCTCAAGCAAAGAATGCACAAGTAGTCAAGTAAGCACAATATGATGCAATGAGTTTGCAACCTAACCATGGCTCTAGTTCTCTAAAGTTCAGGATATGGGTTAGTCAAAGAGGGTCCATGGTTATGAGTCCAGATGCACCGCGTGGAAGCCTTACCTTTGGAAGGGTTGGCGCATGTGGATGGGACCCTGCGAGCTAAACTTGCTTCCACGGTTTGGTGAATTTTACAATCTCGGATATACCCTTCGTTTCCAGGAGCGTTCGATTGGGTAGATGGAGCATGAATTCCGAGAGAGAAAAACTCAATAAGAAGTAGAATCGAGCCAATAGTGCTAGAGCCAGTCAAAAGAAGAAGGAAGAGTTCTGGCTCGGTACTGGAAGAACTTGGCGCCAAACAACAGAGTATGTCGCTAAGATATAGCCCTGTCGCCAGGCGACAGAGCCATATCATTGGCGACAAGCTCTGTTTTCTAGACCCAGTTCCTACATGCCTAAGCAGCTTTCGGTGTTCTTAGAATTTTCTAGTCTTCGCAGTATTATTTTTATTCTAGTTGTGAAAGATATTTCTCAAATTTCCTACGTATAAAAATCCTATGTTTTTGACTCATTACAGATGGTCTTTCCCATGAGAAAATTTTTATTCTTATGCCAACAATGTCAATCAAAAGTACGCACATGAAATACTTAGAACTATTCGAGTCTCATCCACTCATTCTAAATCATTGCCAAAATAAATTTCAGGAATTAAAATAGAAATTTTCAAGCATTATCCCAAACTTGAACCCCACTGTATTCATACACTTAAGCATGGTGGCGTCCAAAGGGAAGGAAACGAGATCAAAGAGTCGCCAACAAGTTTTAGGAACTTGTAAACCGTTCACAGGGTGAAGGTTACACCCCTTAATGATCCAGGAGATCATTAACTCCAATAGATCTGGAACCATGACTGGTGTTCGAGGATGAGGGTACGAATCCAATCTAAAAGAGAAAGAACTCGCCCTATAAAATAGACCTCTACTTTATTCTTCTCGTTTTCATGTGCGCTTTCTGACTAACATGCAATCTTTAGGTTAACCCTAAACTTTTTTAATCTATGTTGGTTGAATATTAATGCACAAACAAAACTATTATTGCCGATCACTTGAATTATAATCATATTATCCTAAACAAGATTATTAATTATCTTATTAAGCGTGATTACAAGTACAAAAACCTTTTAAACATGCATAAAAGGTGTGATCAAGCAATAACAATAAATAATATCATCATCAAGCAACATAATAATCATCATCATAATAATAAAAATCATAATAATAATCATAACCATAATCATATCAATGCTAAAGCATAATAATAACAAGATCCTAGGCATGATACTAACAAGATTAATAACAAATCCTAGAATGTCACTAAACATCAAAGATTAAAGATTTAACCCTAATATGATACTAACATGATATTAGGAAAGAAAATAGGAAGCATCATAGAAATCATAATTGATATAAGAAACTTAATTATTACCCTAAACATGATACTAGGAAACAACAAAAGCATCCTAACATGATACTAGGAATCAAAATAATAATCTAAACATGATTTCTATATCATAATATCAATAAAATAATTAAATTACTTACTTCGATACCTCGTACCTCTTTCTAATAACAAAATACACACATTAGTAACTTCAAAGAAAAGTAATAAACAAAACAATTAAATTAAATAATTAAAATAGGAATTTACGGCCAAACCTCATAAATATCAAACCATTCACATCTAGGGCGAAGGCAACTTCGAACTTGGCTAGGTGTTTCTAGTGCTAATGAGTGCGGAATTGTGTTTGTAAAAGGGTTATGCCACTAGTAGAAAAAGGCTTACTTGCGTCGCTCATTTATAGTGTATTTGCGTCGCATCTATGAGTAACGCAACTGCTCGCGACGCAAATGATTTAAAAGTCATTTGCGTCGCTCCTAGGCGCGACGCAAATAAGAGTCATTTGCGTCACTCCTTTATAAAGGAGTGACGCAAATAAGAGTTATTTGCGTTGCTCCTTTATAAAGGAGTGACGCAAATGACTCTTATTTGCGTCGCTCTTTTATTAAGGAGCGACGCAAATGACTCTTCTGATAAACTTCTTGTTTGTTATTTGCGTCACTTGTTTATATAGATGTGACACAAATGACTGACTAGACAATACAAAATTGCTTTATTTGCGTCACTTGTTTGTTTAATGAGTGACGCAAATGAGGTGATTTTTTTTAATTATAATAATTGCCTTGTATATGTTTGTAGTACCTGTTTTCCTTGCTAGTGGTATAAAGTAATATGCTAACGCTAATATAATTGAAATTAAAATGCAATATTATTGAAATGCAAATGTAAATTTCGGCAGAGTCTCCTTTGTAATTTGGCCTACCCATAAAATTGGGAATGACGACATTATATTAACAACCTGTCCAATAATTTACATCTCAATATCATAGACATTATACTCATCATCCCAACACTAATTAACCAAAGTCATTCATGTGAAGCCTATAATCCAAAACAAGAGTCCAACATGTGCTAAATGTAAATATAAAGTTCAACATTACATATAAAATACTTTGCCCAAATATCTCGAATCTCATTTATCTCCTCCTCGGTGTACGGTGTAGTTCTTGAAAAATCCTATCAACACAACAAATATACAAGAGGAAAGTTTTAATTCAAGATTGTAGCTAACATCAAATTGTATTTATCAAACAAAAATGAAATATTTGACAACTCATACCTGAATAAGATCCTCATTGCTATGGTGATGTTCAAGTATTTCGTACATATAACGCATGACGTAGTAGCCACACTCACGTCCACCCAATTGTTGAGGACGCTACATGTAATATATTTATAAGTTGAATTAAATTGCTATACTTAAATTATTAAGAAACTAAAAGTTAGGGTAAGAAATTAAGGTAACCTGTCCCAAATGCCATGTCAATTTACTTCCCCTAGATTGTCGACTTAATACCTTGAAACTTCGAAAAGCACTACACATTTGAAACAAATAACATATATATTATCCTTACACACATAAAATCATGACATTAATAACAAACTAGACTTACTTTGTCTTTGCAAACTTAATTGCTAAATTTCGCTTCTGCCTCAAAGAATCAAAGATAACGACTTCACGCTTAGCCATGCATAAGACCAAAAGAACCCAATAATTCCTACATAATAAATTAGACACACATTTGTAAAAGAGTAAAATAATATCAACAATTTGCAAAGTTCAAATAAATACAAGTTCAAAGTTTATACTTTTCATGGTATGGGCGTAAGATGAACTACTTAGATTTTTGTTTTTCCATCACATGTGTCATGTATAGTAGGATATGATCTGCATCACTATGCAAATAGGTTTATGAAATCATTTCCGGACACATGAATCCAATGGAAGCCACATCCACCGTATCGAGTAAGTCACTCAAGGCCCTACATATATATCATGTAATAACATTATAAATGGTAATAAATAAGTATATATGGGAAGAGTGAAATTTGAATATCTTACATCATAAAAACTTGCAAAATTGAAATATTCAGCCAAGCTCCCGTGAGAAGTTGATTGACATCTTCAAGTCTTATAACGATGTCCTTACTATCTTCATAACTAAAGGTCCAAGCGTCAACCTTTACCTTAATAGTTTCACCTTTGGGTAATGAAGATAACAAACTATTCAAAGACCCACACTTCTGAGACAAGTTTTCCAAAGCATAATCCATAAGAAAAACGTTTTTTGGATTGGTGTTGGACTCTTTTGTTTCATGACCACTTTCAACTACTTTCAGTTTGTCTTGCATGTTTTCTTTGGCCGCTTTGTTGTTATCATCGTTCTTATTTGATATGAATTCCTAATCAACAGTAAAGCAAATCTATTCAACAATTTGCTATATTTTGTATGGAAAACTATACGTAAATTGTTACAAAAATAATTTACCTTGTCATGCATGAGTGAAACCAAGTCTTTCGGCCATTGGCTAAATGTACCGTAAGCATGCTTAAGTTTCTTGATGACTGAAGAAGGAACTGGAACCGAGAATTCTTTGAACTCGTCAAAAAAATCATCAACACTTACCCTCACGTGATTTGGAAGGAGGTTACTATGATGATCAAGGATAAACTCCGAATGATATGTACCTTCAGCGACAATGACTTTCTGAGAGTCATTTTTCAACCATGATAGCCGACATGGAATCGGTTCCTTACAAAGATAGGAAAAAATCATTATTAAAAAAAAGAAAACAAAGTTACAAAGTTAAAAGTATGTCGCAGTCATAAATCATTACAAAAAAAAAGATAAAAAATATAAAATAACAAAGTTTTGGATACCTGTATGTTTGCAAATGGATCATCACCCACTGATTGGAAACTACTAAGATTTTGTTGAGTCGTCCGGCCTATGTTATTCATTTCCATCAATTCAGTTGGAATTTGAATACCAATCTGTTTAGCAAATAACATAAACTTCTATTGAACCATGGAATCCATTTGAGAATCCATCTCTTGCATAGTCTCCTCTCGTACCCTCCGGGCTAATCTTGCCTCTAATTCTTCCAGCTAAGCATCTCCGAATTCCTTACCCCGTCGGCCACTACGCCTCTCTCCGGATCCCCATACAGCTTTACTGCCAATTCCACTGCCAAATGCTATTGCCCGACCATTACGATCTTTTTTCCCAAGGGCACGAGATAAGATATCATCATGCCTATTAGGAACAAATTTTCCATCAGCTTGTTGCTTTCTCCAATTATCCTACACAAAGACTTCAAGTTAGAAAACTTTGGTTGCAATACATAAACTTAACAAAATATATTCAAAATTGAAATAAACACTTATTATATACTTACAATGGATTCTTTCACCTCTCTTGTTTTCTCATCCGGCAAATAAGGATTTCCCTTATCATCTTCTATTGATCTTGCTAGAAGCCAAGCATATGTCTTATCCGGCAAACTAGACACAACCGAAGAACAAGATGAAGTACTTGATGCTAAAGATGCTGTGGGAATATACCCTTTTCTACGCCATATAATATTCATTTCACCATATGATTTGGCTCCTAAATGGTGAGGGTATTCGTTGAAAGACTGACTTTATCTTGCTGTTTCATTGATTTCCTATTTTCACGAGCATAAATGAAGATTAGTACATAAGAATCTGTTAACAAAGTATTAATAACCTGCATGATCATTGATATTAATACACAAAAACCTTAAAATCATCTGTAATATGCTCCTCCACAAATGTTTTCCACATATCTTCAAATATGAAATCATAGAGTACATACGACATTCTTTTCTCCTTTGGCATATTCCTGGTACATGTGATCCCACCACTGACCAATTTTGTTTCAAAATCTCTCCAAGTTTTATCACAAGTGCGTAGGACCTTTTTTTTCTTGTCTTCATCTTCTTCGATTTGAAACTCTCTCTACAAAAAAATTAAAAAAATAAAAAAAAGTTAGTAAATAATTTCATCATATTCAAATAAATTGTTTTCATCATGTTCAAATAATGTCAAAATGATCATATAATAGTATAACATTTAACATTTAATAGTGAATATTACCTTAACATCTTCCCACAAAGTGTCTTTTATTCCTTGTGGAACTTGATTCCAATCTTTATACAATATAGACACCTTTGCACGGCTTATTTCACCAAGATGAGTTTTGTATGCTTTTGCCCACTTTCCAATGGGTCGACACAATTCATCCCATTCAAGCACTCTAGGAACCCCAGGCATGGATTTCAAGCCCTTTGATGGACCTCTTGGCTTCTTTTTATTCTTTTGAGAGTCGGTTGTTTGTTGCTCTTATTGTGATTGATTGTGTTGCTCATCTTCCTCACCTTACGAAAACATGTAAAGATTATGCATATCCTCATCCTCCATTATTACTTACCTGAAAAAAAAGACATAAATAAATTAAGACATCGATTAGTATCATTTTTAAATTATAAACTTGTACACATAACAATAATAAGCAATTTATGCAATTAGTAACACATATTGGAAAAAACAAAATCAAATAATTCATACCTACTTCATTCTTCGCTTTTGTGACATAAAATCCTTCATTATGATCTTTTCGTTTCAACGTTGTGTCAAAATCATCGACTATTGGAGGGATGCTCCAAACGCAAGGTGGTGACTCATTAAATTGCTCATCATATTCTTCCTCGTCCACCACATCTTCAATGCCAAGTATCCTTCTTTTACCTTCTAAAACAACTGACCACTTACAATCAGGTGGGTCAACCATGTAAAAAACTTGTTTTGCTTGTGAAACTAATATAAATGGATCAGCTAGATGCCCTCGTCGACCAAGATTTAAAAGGGTCCAGTTCCCTTGTTCATCCTTTTTTACACCACGCTACTATTAGCCCACTTACATCGAAATAGAGGAATCTTGAAATCAACATAATCCAGCTCTATTATTTCTTCAATGATTCCATAATGTGTCAGATATATCGTTAGGTGTGGTGGATAGTTGGGACATCACTCATTTCTTGAACCATGTAAAGAATGAACAATTATGCAACTTTATCAGCTGAAGATCACTTTTGGAAGGATATTTATTTTTAAGAAAAAGCATGTGCTCGTCCAAGTAAGGATGAACCTCACTAAGATTTTGCAACACAAAAAGCTCGGCCTTATTTTTCATTTCAAAGCCCATGGATATCCTTTTCCTGCCAATAGTACCTTGACCTCCAAGCCTCCCATCGTGTCGAGACTTTGGCAACCCAATTTTCTGTGAACGTGCAAGATATTGAGCAACCCATGCTGCCGCTTCCTTAGCAACTGTTCGTTGTACAATACTTGCTTTAGGTTTTGCCGGATTCATGACTTTTCCCTTTAAGTCACCCATTTCTCGTTCAAAAGGATACATGTATCTCATACACACTGGTCCACAAAGTTTAATTTCACGTACAAGATGAATAACCAAATGAGGCATCACGTCAAAAAAAAGATGGGGGAAAATACATTTTAAATCGACACATTGTCTCAAGTACATCTGCTTGCAAGTCATCTAAAATACTTGGATTTATGACCTTGCTACAGATAGTGTTAAAAAAGACACATAATCTTGTAATCGTATACCTCACTTGAGGTGGAAAAATTCCTCGGATGGCAACTGGTAATAATTGTTGCATCAAGACATGACAATCATGAGATTTCATGCCACCCAATTTCAAGTCAGACATTGACACAAGTCTACAAAAATTAGAAGAAAATCCAGCCGAGACCTTTAAACCATGCAATGACTCACAAAAGCTAGTTTTTTCCTTTTTAAACAAGGTAAAGCAAGCTGGGGGAAGATACCAGCGTTTTCCTCGAGATTCGGGTGCCAACTCTGAACGACCCATAGAAGTCATGTCTTTTCTTACTTTAACTCCATCCTTTGTCTTTCCTGGCATATTTAATAAAGTTCCCACAATGGCATCACAAACATTTTTCTCAATATGCATTACATCTAGACAATGTCTAACTTCCAAATGTCTCCAATATGGAAGAGACCATAGCTCAGACTTCTTCTTGTAACCCCCAGTTGATTTGCTTTTGTAAGGCTTACCAAACTCATTCTCCATGTCTTTGACCCGCTGATAAACCTCACTTGCACGTAAAGGGCCACGAGCTTCTCTTAACTCCACTATTCCATTAAAAGCATCCTTATTGAATCGAAAAGGGTGGTCTTCAGGAAGATGTCTGCGATTATCCATGTATACATGCTTGCCACAATTGTCTAGGCGTAATGCTTCCAAATCATCTTCACAAATGGGGCAAGGAGTTGTTCCCTTCACAGTGTACCCCAACAAATTCCCATAAGCTGGGAAGTCATTTATCGTACAAAAATTCATGGCACGTAAAGTGAAATTGGTTTTACTATATGCATCAAACATTTGGACACCTTTATTCTACAATAAATTCAAATCTTCAATGAGAGGCGCTAGATACACATCAATGTCATTTCCAGGTTGTTTAGGACCAGATATTAGAAGGGACAACATAATGTATCTAGACTTCATGCATAACCAAGGAGGCAAATTGTAGATAGTTAGAAGAACCGGCCAAGTGCTATATTGGGTACTTAGTGTCCCAAATGGGATCATTCCATCTGTACTAAGACCAAGCCTAAGATTTCGATCTTCTTCACCAAAGTCCTTGAACTATCGATCAATGTTCCTCCATTGCGGGGAATCAGCAGGATGCCTCATTAACCTATCTTTCTTCCTCCCATCAGCATGCCACCTCAATAATTTTGCAGTTTTTTCATCCGAGAAGAGTCTCCTAAATCTCGGTATAATTGGAAGATACCATAATACCTTAGCTGGAGACCCTTTCTTACACAACTCACCAGTATCATTCATCTTGTAACGAGAAACTCCACACCTTGGACACTCATGCAAATCAGCATACTCATTTCGATACAACACACAGTCATGGGGACAAGCATGTATCTTCTCATACTCCATACCCAAGGGGCACATAAGTTTCTTGGCCTCATAGATGGAGTTTGGAAGTTCATTCCCTTTGGGAAACATTTCTACTAAGGCTTCTAACAACTGCGTAAAACCCTTGTCGGTCCAACAATTGCACGCCTTTAAGTTAAATAACTTCATAATAGCACCAAGTTTAGTGAACTTTGTAAACCAGGATATAACGGGGTTTCTTCAGCTCTCAAAATACTATCATATGTCTAGGGACACTCTGTGAAATGGTCTTCAACATCATGCATCATTTCATCTATCCTGTCCTTCTCCACTTCACTCTCACTTTCAACACCAATATCAGCTGTATCGATATCCTCACCTTGGTGTTCATTATCATCATCACAATGATTCTCATCTTCCCTTGGACAATAACTAGAACTTACCTCAATATATATTCTCTCACCATACCATGTCCACCTTGTGTAGTTTTCTTTAAACCCACGACGAATGAGATGATCTTTAATATCAACTATATCACGATATCCCCTCGAATTATTACAGTCACAACAAGGACAAAGAATAATCTTTGATTTATTCTCTGTTTGGTGTTTTAAGGCAACAGTGCCAAACTCTTCAATTCCTCGTAAAAAAACTTGTACAATTTCGTTTACCATACATCCAACTTCGATCCATTTTCAACAACTGAATAACAAAATTAATTTTAAGATAATGCGTATATTTTCTAACATATATAGCTCCTTAACCATAAACAAGAATATAAGGCATCAAACATTTTCATTCACAGTTTATATCATGTAAATGCAACTCCGGATGATCCAATAAGGTCCTTATCACTCCAACCTAACCCATTCTTGAATGTCCTATCTCACTAATAACTACTTGTAAAGTTTGGTTCTAAAGAAAATCTGGCAGCATTTCCCTATGTAGATAATCGGCTATCAACATATGTACCCAGAGAACAATCGGGAAATAGTGAGCCATGATCTTCTCAGACCCAAAAACAGTTCAAGTAGTTATCACCTAAATGATATAGAACATTCAAGAATAGTCCCAAACCGGGGACTATTCAAGACTTACTTCTAATGAGTAAGCCCTGAACGGGTATCTAAGCCAATGATGCAAGTATTATTGCAATTCTAATCAATTATATCACAATTAAAAATCTCTTACAATTCACAATCATTATACCAACTAGAACAAATAAGTTAATATTGCAAAGAATGGTTTAGATATATATACCACAAGTGAAGACAATCTCGTATTCGTACTACCGCCTTAATCGTTTGTCCACAACCAGAACCTCGAGCAACTTGTGGAATTCATTTCCGCATAATTAAGAATCTACCATAAAAACTAACATATATTAAACCAACATAGTTGATTCAACTTAATCTGCCATGTGAAATAAAAGTTGTTATTCGGCATTGCTTATTAGCCAATCATGGTGTAAAACTTGAAGACCTGAAACGAGTGTTAAGCCATCCGCAGGTATTTAGATCTTATACTAATCCATGTCTTTCTTAGATATGATATTTGCGTCAATTTAAATAAAAAAAAATGAATTAGTAGGCTCTTGCTCAATGTGAGAATACATTGACCAAGTTTGGATTAATTAGAGAAGTTGCAGATGACAGTGCTGGTTCAGCACAAGTAAGTTTTTGCTTTAGCTTGTTTAAGTTTGTTTTGTCCTTTTTCCTTACTCCTTTTATTTCGTTGTAATTATCAAATATACTATTTGTGATGATTGAGGGAAGTGTGAGACTATTTCGATTAATGAGAAAAGTGTGAGAGCAACCCAACTGATAGAATTGGTCCGATAGTTTTTTGAAACTTTTTTTTTTAATTAAGGGTTGAACAAGGTGGTTGTTTAATGGATGGAATATTGATTTATAGTTTTTTTTTTTTTAACTTGATGACTGATTGAAGGTCACCTTAGCTAGGTCCAACAGATGGGAAGTACCTTTTTTGTCGCCTAAAGTATGTGAAACTTTCAGTCCAATGAATTAATAACCTTATAACAGCTGCAAAGCTAATGTTTTATTTCCATCAAAGTTAAATGCTGTAAAAATCAGCAGCTCAAAGATACAAACCAGCAGCTCAAAGATGCAGCTGCAAACCAGTAGTATATTGCAAACCAGCAACTGTAAAAATCTACGGACTAAATGTACTAGCTGAAAACATTCAGGTGAATATATTAAAGCCTTGAATTGAGATGAGCCTCAATGAAAAATCAATGACTGAAATTATAAAAATTAAATTAAATCTGCCATATATTTTCTAATTAATGAACTAACACTAAACCTGAAATTAAACTAAGTCATTGTTCAAGTTAAATGCTACATTCTATCTACCATGAAAAGATTGAACATAAATAGAAGCAATCTTACCTTAGGTGAAATTGACTTCACAAATTCAACAATGTCGAGCCGAAATCGAACTTCAATTATTGTTGCTGTAATTTGCTAGAACTTCCTCGGGTTTTTTGGGGCGAAATTAAGCAATTTTTCCACTCGAAAATTTCAATCATTGCTCGAATATTTTCGCCAGGATTTTTAATTGAATTTTTTGGGGTTTCTAGGGTTCGAATTCGTATGGTTTTGAGTAGATTTTTTGCTCGAAATGGGGGATTTTTGGTTGAAAACAATCAATTTTTCTAGGGTTTAACGGTTCAAATTTCTTAGGGTTTTTGGTCTAAATTTTTGCTCGAAATTGCTCGGATTTGCTGCCGATTATGGGTGTTGAACTCGATTGCGATTTTGGATGTTGAATTCGCTGGGGAATTGCAGTTTTTTAGGCGAATTTGTTGGATTTCAGGGTCGAATTTGTGGGTGTTTTTCTGTAGAAATTTACTAGAAGCAACTCTGTTTTTTTTTCATTTTGTTTAGTGAATGGTAGGTGTGAAAAGCTAAGGTCAAAAAAGCGTAGAATAACCTAAATGCACCAGAGTTATTTGCGTCACTTAATTATAAAAATGCGACGCAAATAACAAAATCTATAATGCTGAAAATTTGTCATTTGCGTCGCTCATTTATTAAAAGAGTGACACAATTTATTCACTCACTTATTTGTGTCGCTTGTCAATAAATGAGTGACGCAAATAAGGTTATTATATGCGTCGCTTCAATAAATAAGAGCGACGCAAATAATAGAAAGCTAAAATACACTTGACTTTTGCGTCGCTTCTTCAATAACAAGCGACGCAAATAACTTTAAAGGATGGTAAAAATAAACATTTGCTTCATTCTTTAGAATGAGTGACACAAATATGGCGATGCAAATGTACATTTTTCTGGTTGAGAGAATAAGCTTTACCTTAGAGAGAGAGAATAATTAGAGAATTCTGTTTGAGAGTTGATTATTGAAAACGGAGGTCCAAGGACCCTATTTATAAGAAAATCGTCCGGAATTGATAGAAATGAGTTAGAGTTCAAAAAGGAATAAAACAACAACCATTCACCAACGACAGAGCTCGTCGCTAGGCGATAAACCTGTCCTCAGGTGGTGCAGTTATTTTCAACGCGTTTTCAATGTGGAATCCACTTATCGATAAAATTGAGTTGTAAAATCCGTACGAAGGCTAAAATCGTATTTTCATATTAAACACTTATTTTATTCCAAGTAAAACTCATATACATAATTATCAATCCTAATCCTACTAGGATTAAAAAAAAACCTTCTAGACAATTCTAGAAGACTATAATCAATCCTAATAGCTTTAGGAATAATAATTAATAACAGGTCCTCCTCTAGATCACTGGGCCGCATATAAGAACCAAACCGGGCCCAGTTTCGTATGTTGGCCATAACTTCCTCATTATTCATCAGAATTGGGCTTATAATATATCGTTGGAAAGCTCTTATCGAGCCCCATCCAACTACACCACTATTGGACCCTTTTCATGGACCAAAATGAACTGGACTGGATATTTTCATAAAATAGTGTAGGTTTTCGAAAACAGAAAGAAAGATTTTAATAAAACTACCGCACCGCTAGACTTTTCACACTTTCAATTCATTCGATTTTGATTTATCGCGAAAGGTATTCATCACTGGGTTTGGTTTTAGGGAGACACAAATGGGTGTCTACAGGTGATATTTTTTACTTTTCTAGGATAGTTTTCTTTTCTTTGTTTCGGGTTTACATTTGCCTTCTTGCTAACCATTTGAGCCTTATACCTTTCTTTTCAAGCCATATCTTTAGCTTTTGAGCCTTCTGTTTCATTATTTTTCCCATCTTTGGTTTTTGTGAAGCATTTGGTCTCTATTGTTGAAGTTTTGGTGGATGAAATAGATAGTTCGGTTCTTTTAATGTAAGCAAGTTTGTATTGTAAATATTTAGTGAATAAAGGTGAATGACAAGTTGAAAAGGTCGTCCATAGATAAATGAGGCGAGGACTATGAAATAAGTGAAAAAGTGAAAAAAAAAATGGGAAAAAGCAAAGCAAATTCAAATGCTTTGGCAAAAGTGATAAAAATGTGAAAAATGAAAAAGCTTAAAAATATTTTGATGTAATTTCTCCCTATTTTAAGCATTGAGGACAATGCTTTGTTCAAGCTTGGGGGGGAAGCGTTATTACGGTTTTTGTATATATGTTTGTGATTTTGGCTTTTAATAAGCTTGGTGTTGGGTTTTGGTGAGTCCGACCCACCGCGGAAGGAAATCTAACCCTAAAACAAAACACACAATAATTATATCCATAAACATAATTAACATAAACACAAGACTAAGTAAGTAATTATTACCTTTGTAGTGTGCTTCACTCACCAAAACGAGCTCTTACTTGAAAGCCTTCAAGTCCCGCTCACACGGCGACCTCCTTCGAAGTCCACCTATAAACGCGAGCACCGAACTCGGTCTATTGCCTTGGAGTTAGCAAGGACCGACCTCAAAAACCGAGTAATTAGTGTTCAAAAGTTTTCACTCTATGATTCCTTTTTCAACACTTAAGTGAAGAATTCCCAACTTCCCAAGTTGGTAATTATAGGAAAAGTGTAATCCCCCGTATTTTTAAAATATTTTATAAATGAAATTTTATTTTATTTATAATATTTATTTGTTATTTTTCGGAATTTAATTTCAAAAGTTTCAAATTATTAATCTGGGTCGAAAATTATTTGAACAAATTATTTTATGCACCTTTATTCTACAATTTATGTCCAATCAAACAACCCTAACCCATTTGTTTACTTAATTGACCCATTATTTTTATGAGGCCCAATCTTCCTATTTGCCCTACAATTCTCTCCTATAAATACCCCATTAATCCCCAAAAATTTCCCACACACAAAGGTTAGTCTTATTTTCTTTCTCCTTTGTTTTATTAATTTGTGTAATTATAATTATTGATTTATGGGTTTTGATTTAATTGTTTGAAATTAATTAAATTAGTATTAGATTGTATTTTGATGAATTTTCAGATTTATAAATGTCATAATTTTCAGATTTTGTAAATTTTATAACCTAGGGTTTTTAATTATTGAAAATCATGATTTTAGGGTTTTTATGAACAATTGATTTAGGGCTTTTATAGTAATGATGTTTTAAAATTTGGGTGATTATAACTAATTATTAGTTTAACTTAATTCCAGATTATTTTGAATACATAAATTCGTGTTTAAATTTTTAGATTTCCGTTCGTTAATATTAATCCTGTTTTAATCCCGATCAGGTTCTGAATTCATCCAATTTTGATAAAAAAAAAGTAGTGTTTTCCATGTGGAAACAACGGTTTAAGAGTGTATTTTCTGGCCAAATTCAGCCTCTAAATATGATTTTTGGGCAGTGTTTAATTTTAACGAAGTTTTTTTAAACTTAAAATTTTATCCTTGAGTTTGATTAATAATATTAATTATGTTTAAAGTTAATTAAGCATAAATATATATTTTTATTGAAATTTTAAGTGCTGGAAATAGTTTCTAAGTACTACTTTTGATGTTTTATAAAAAGGGTTTAATCACCCATTAAAAAGGGAGATTATTAGGGGTTTTAAAATAATTTTAAGATTTTTTTATTAAACTTTAAACTTACTATAATTTCATATATAAGAGTGTATTTTAAGGTTTTTATGAAGAAAATTTAAAGAAATATATATAAGCCTTTAATTTTAACGAAAGGGAAGGTTTTAAAGTGTTGTTTGATTTGGATTTTGAAAGTTTTAAAGTAAGTTAGTACTGCTGTAAATTTGATTGATTGGGTATTGATTAAGATGTTATTGTTTGGTTTAGGAGAAGAGTTTATTGAAGGTGATTTCTAGTTTTAAAGTGGTTAATCGAATTGTTTACACAAGGTACGTACAAGTTACGAAACCTTGCTTGTAGGTGCATGTTTAAGGACGGATCGAGAAATTAGTATCATTTATAGGGTTGACTGGGTTAAATTATTTGGTTATACATTGTGAATTTCAAATGATGTGCACTATTTTATATTGCAAGTATTATTTGTGCTCTAATTATGCAAGGTGTGCTTAGAGGCAAAAGTATGTGATGGTGTAAAGATTAATTTATTACTCATTCATGATTATGCAAACAGGATGAGTAAAGGAAGAATTTCAGTCTTATAAGACGAGGTTAAGGTTTTGGGGTACCTTATGCACTCAAGGTGTTTATACGCCGAGGTAGTTAAAGGAATAAATAATAAATGTTGCTTGTCACTAATAAATCAAGAATTGAAATTGGAAAGTTGTTTTACTAGATTGAATTGATATTGGATTGATTGTATTGTTTGCATATGAGTCATCACCAAGTCTAAACCTGTAAATCACGTAAAGTGCAAGATGGATGAGCAATAAAACTCTGGATTGGTGCACTTCTGGAGTAATGACAATCAGGGGTTGGGTACACGGGGTATTAGCCGTGTACTTTTATCGAGGCCGTCTGATCTACGAGTCTCCTATTTCAAATAATTTTTTAAAACTAGGAGTTAGGTGAGATCTCATACCAACTACGGTCACGGAGTCGCCCCCGTGATCGTGTTATTGATGTTTCCGAAAGGAGGCATGGGGTTTTCTTTATTGATGTTCCAAATGGAGCATGGGTTGGACAACCTTGTCTCACTAGTAGAAAAAGGCTCATTTACGTCGCTCATTTATAGTGTATTTGTGTCGCTTCTATGAGCGACGCAACTGCTCGCGACGCAAATGACTTGTATTTGTGTCACTCCTAGGCGCGACGCAAATGACTCTTCTGATAAACTTCTTTTTTGTTATTTGCGTCCCTCCTTTATAAAGGAGCGATGAAAATGACTCTTATTTGTGTCACTCCTTTATAAAGGAGCGACGCAAATGACTCTTCTGATAAACTTCTTTTTTGTTATTTGCGTCACTCCTCTATAAAAGAGCGACACAAATGACTCTTCTGATAAACTTCTTATTTGTTATTTGCGTCACTTGTTTATATAGGAGTGATGGGAATGACTGAGTAGACACTACAAAATTAATGTATTTGCGTCACTTATTTGTTTAATGAGTAACGCAAATGAGGTGATTTTTTTTAATTATAATAATTGCCTTGTATATGTTTGTAGTACCTGTTTTCCTTACTAGTGGTATAAAGTAATATGCTAACGCTAATATAATTGAAATTAAAATGCAATATTATTGAATAATGCAAATGTAAATTTCGGCAGAGTCTCCTTTGTAATTTGGCCTACCCATAAAATTGGGAATGACGGCATTATATTAACAACCTGTCCAATAAATTACATCTCAATATCATAGACATTATACTCATCATCCCAACACTAATTAACCAAATTCATTCATTTCAAGCCTATAATCCAAAACAAGAGTCCAACATGCGCTAAGTGTAAATCTAAAGTTGAACATTACATAAGTACTCTGCCCAAATATCTCGATTCTCATTTATCTCCTCCTCGGTGTACGGTGTAGTTCTTGAAAAATCCTATCAACACAACTAATATACAAGAGGAAAGTTTTAATTCAAGATTGTAGCTAACAACAAATTGTATTTATCAAACAAAAATGAAATATTTGACAACTCATACCTGAATAAGATCCTCATTGCTATGGTGATGTTCAAGTATTTCGTACATATGACGCAGGACGAAGTAGCCACACTCACGTCCACCCAATTGTTGAGGACACTACATGTAATATATTTATAAGTTGAATTAAATTTCTATACTTAAATTATTAAGAAACTAAAAGTTAGGGTAGGAAATTAAGGTAACCTGTCCCAAATGCCATGTCAATTTACTTCTCCTAGATTGTCCACTTAATGCTTTAAAACTTCGAAAAGCACTACACATTTGAAACAAATAACATATATATTACCCTTACACACCAGAACCTTGTATATATACCACAAGTGAAGACAATCTCGTATGCTTACTACCGCCTTAATCGTTTGTCCACAACCAGAACCTCGAGCAACTTGTGGAATTCACTTCCGCATAATTAAGAATCTGCCATAAAAATTACATATATTAAACCAACATAGTTGATTCAACTTAATCTGCCATGTGACATAAAAGTTATTATTCGGCATTGCTTATTAGCCAATCATGGTGTAAAACTTGAAGACCTGAAATGAGTGTTAAGCCATCCGCAGGTATTTAGATCTTATACTAATAAAAAAAGTACTTGGTACTCCGTATTAAATAAGCAGGTAAGATAGTTTGAAAACAAGAAACTCAAAAGACCATACAAACATCCAAAGACTTGCACAGAAAAACTGTATGGCAATCACCCCTCCAGAAGCTCCACAAAGAGCTGCCGGTATAGTAAATAATTGCAAAAACAGCCTCTTTATACTTGAAAGTATCTCTTGACATTACCCAGTGGGCTGTGGCATTCTCATAACACAACAGATATAAGAAGACAACATACCAATGATCCAATAGCAACCAGGGCACGAAATTTTGAATCTAGATCAATACTCTCTGCTTCAGCAATCTGCAACCAGAGAATAAATCAAACTTTTTACCCAGCAAATAAAAGTAGCACTTCTGCATTATTATACTTAAACAATTTGTAAGCTCAATCCATAAGCATCGCAAATACTCCTCGATTTTAAATTATCTTTTAAGTTTTCCAAACAGATTTAGTAATTGTTGGCCACTGTATACAATCAAAATTTATTAATATATTCCTACATTCTCAAACATAAATGCAAAATGATCCCATTGAATAGTTCAATCTGAGCAAGCATTTCAAGATTGCTATAGTTTTAATTGCATCAACACATAAGACAGAAACTTAATACAAAGGGCAGTTGAAAGGAACCAGAGGATTTTAGTATTTTACCTCAAGTGAGCTGATAGTACTTGTAATTGCCCTTCTTCATCTCTCTTATTAATCAACATCACAACAAAGCTAATACAATTACAATGGTCAGGCAACAAGATTTCATAGTATCAGTCCACAGAAAACCTCAAAAAACACTCTTCTAACATATATGTAAACACTGACTTCCAACTAAATAAGAGACCCAATAACATATATGTAAACACTGACTTCCAACTAAATAACATATATGTAAACACTGACTTCCAACTAAATAACATATATGTAAACACTGACTTCCAACTAAACGAGTGCAAGTCTTACATGTATTTTGTAATTTATTTAGCAGCATTTTTACGGCAAATTAAAGATAAGACAGTTGAAAAACAAGGGTCAATGTTACTGAATTTAATGGCCAGGATGAAGATCGACAACACGTGTCTTATCTATTTTTGCAAAACCGCTCATATAGTCATACTGTGCACTCGATTTCAGTTATATATTTGAAATTAGTAATATATTGCAAACCAGCAGCACAAAAATCAGCAGCTCAAAGATGCAACCAGTTATATATTCAACTAAAATCTGCCATATATATTTTCTAATTAATGAACTAACACTAAACCTGAAATTAAACTAAGTCATTGTTCAAGTTAAATGCTACATTCTATCTACCATGAAAAGAATGAACATAAATAGAAGAAATCTTATCTTAGGTGAAATTGACTTCACAAATTCAACAATGTCAAGCCGAAATCCCCCCTCGAATTATTGTTGCTGTAATTTCTTGACTGAAATTCGAACAATTTCTATTTATGACTGAAATGGGGGATTTCGAACCCTTAAACCCAAAAAAAGACGTAATTCGAACAATTATTTTTGCTGTAATTTCTTGACTGAAACTATTGTTGCTGTAATTTCTTTACTAAAATCCGAACAAAAATTATTTATGATTGAAATGGGACGAATTTCTTAGGGTATATTGTGTCGCTGCCAAAAACCCAAGAAATCCCCCCTCGAAATCCCCCAATCGAACTTGAAGACCGAAATTGAATTTTTTGGGGTTTCTAGGGTTCGAATTCGTATGCTTTTGAGTTGATTTTTTGCTCGAAATGGGGGATTTTTGGTCGGAAACAATCAATTTTTCTGGGTTTAAGGGTTCGAATTTCTTAGGGTTTTTGGTCTAAATTTTTGCTCGAAATTGCTCGGATTTGCTTCAACTTGACTGCAATTTTAATTTAAATGTTAAATTTGCTGGGGAATCGCAGTTTTTTGGCCTAATTTGTTGGATTTCAGAGACAAATTTGTGGGTGTTTTGCTGTAGCAATTCACTGGAATTGAAGAACTCTTGTTTTTTTCTTTTTGTTGGTGAATGTAGGCGTATGTGATGAAAAACTAAGGTAAAAAAACGCAGAAAACCTAAAGCCAAAAGAGTTATTTGCGTCACTTTATTATAAAAAAGCGACGCAAATAACCTTGTTTATGATATTGTACACAACTCATATGCGTCGCTCATGTAGTAAAAGCGTGACGCAAATTACTTAATCACTTATTTGCGTCGCTTGTTAACAAATGAGTGATGCAAATAAGTTTATTAATTGCGTCGCTTTAATAAATAAGAGCGACGCAAATGAGAGAAAGCTGAAATGCACTTGAGTTTTGCGTCGCTTCTTGAATAACATGCGACGCAATAACTTAAAAGGATGGTAAAAATAAACATTTGCTTCGCTCCTTAGAATGAGTGACGCAAATATGGCGACGCAAATGTACATTTTTCTACTAGTGTCTTTTTGCTTAATCCAAAGAATTAAATAAAATGAGTTTGCTACTATTAACTAGTGAAGTCTTAATAAAAATTGATAATTGAGTCGTGTGTTGAGTCTATAATTTAATGATGCATGATGATTGATTATTAGTAGCATGTTTTGGATTTCTTATTTGTTTCGCAGCTTGTATGTACTCAGCTTTGCTGATTGCGTGTTTTTGTGTGTGTCTTTCTTTGGTCATAGCCTTCACCTTTCAATGACCCTGTGATGATCCATTACACTTGTAATATTGGGGAGCAGATTAACCACAGGTTCTTACATACGCAACATTTGCATCAGGGTTGTGGGATTTTGAGTAGAGAGTTGGTTATTATTCGCAGTTTATTTCTTTTCATAAGTTTGAATTTATTTACACTCTGGTTTTATTTATTTACTACTTTTGTAGGGTTTTGAATAAGGGCCTTAATGGTTCCAAGTTGTATGATTTAATTTGGTTTTGGTAATTGGTTTTGAAACTTAATTATAACTGAGTTAGTTTTTCCGCTGCTAATTTCTGATATAGCCTTAACGTTTGAACACGTGGCGGTAGTAATTCTCTTGGATTTTGTTCAGGGTATTTACATGTTTTAAGAGATAATTATTGGGGTGTTACACAAAGGCTCTCCAAAATCCCATCATCTTTCCATGTGGGAGATTTTGATTTTATTCATTTTATTTTAAATCTAAAATAAAATAAATTAGCAAGCTACTCTATCAATAAGTGTCAAGCTCACATGAGGGGTTAGGCGAGGACCATTTGGAGGAAGGGGGACAAAACTTGCTCCCAACTCTCCTTGTAAAAACCGTCCACCTTATTTCCTCATACCCCTCTATTTTAGCGCCACATGGCAGTCCCACTTGGGCACCAAGGCACCCAAGTGGGCTACCATGCCCTTGCTGCCATACACTCAGTCCGCAGGCCTCGCACTTGCGTGCGGGCTTCTTGGTCGAGGCCCAGCTGCATGCAAGGCCAGCCATGCTGCGGCTAGATGATGCGGGTTGGCGTGCTGGCCCTTGCGGCTGGCTGCTGCGGCAGACCAGCACGCTAGGCACACCAGCCCGCAGCAGCTAGCCAATGCACGCACATGGCTGCGCCCAGCCAGCATATACCAGCCATCCTTGGCTCGGCTTGGTGCGCATGCTAGCCACCATGCTAGTCCCTAGGCCCCTAGCATTCGGTTTTCTCGGGGCATTTCGATGCTAGGGGTATTTTGGGAATTTGTTAATTTATTAGTTTTTCTCGTCTCGTCTTTTTATTATTTTCGACTCGACTTTCGACACTCCAAGCTCGAATTTTCGACGTCTAAATATTAATTACTTAGGCAACTCATTAATTTCTTCCAAATTAATTCGTCGTTTCATTTCGCTAATTTCTTGGGTGTGACCCGAAGGGTTCAGTCAAGATTAGGCTATAATATTAATTATTCATTAATATTACTGATCGGAAGCAGCCTCCACCCAGGTATTCCGATCACTTGACCTCACTGAATAATTAAATTTCTAATAATTTTAAACCCTTTATTAGAATAATACGCTTGTTCGAAGGACACCATTCCTTTCACTTGGGGGTGTTGGTGTTTTTGTTTGGTGATTGCTTGATTATAGTATTGAGATTTGGCCAATCTTTGCTTCACAATTTAGGTATACCACCAAATTTCAAATTTTAGCCCAACTTCACATTTTTTGCCCTTACATTACAACCCTTTTCAAGACCTTTTGACCTATTTGGTTGAGTTACAAGTCGGTGGAGGGAGATGTGAGTCAAGCTTATGGAGCGGTGTGCATAGTCAAGATGTCAAGTAGCCCTAAAATCTCTTCTTTTCTGGTTCCTTCGAGGAATCATTGAGATGCTCACTAAAGGTGGATATGAAACTAGTTGGGAGAACGTGGTAAGATTGTTTGAGATGAAGGTGAATTGTGTCTCATTAGTTCTCTATGCTTAGCATATATTATATTTCAATCAACCTTGGATATCTTGAAATGTGCATTCCCTTACTTGTTTAGAAAGAATTGCATCCATTTGTGCTTGTTCATTTGCAAAAGTCCACTCATGAACATTTGTTTTCTTTTCTTTTCTTTTGGTTTCTTTTCCGTGCTTTGCCTTGTTTGTTTGGTTTGAGAGAGTTGTGGGTTAACCTCTTAGGAAACCCTCACGAGACCTTACTCGTCCGCATTGGCGACTTTAGGGTTTTAAGGGCTTGTTGTAGCTAAAAACAACCGTGATTCCTAAGAAAGTGAGTTAGTGTATATTCTTGTCTCCACTATTTTTCTTTTGTTTTTTTGAATAAGCAAGCTCATCATTTTTTCCCTTACTTGTTTTGGTTTTGCTCAAGGACGAACAGAAATTAAGCTTGGAAGCAATTTTCAAATGACAATTTTGTGAATTACTTAGATTTTGGGACATTTCTAGAATTTCAAATTATTTGGTTTTCATATAATGGTTATTACAATTCCAGTATTTGGAAAGTAAATGAAACAAATTGATTCCAAACACGCCATTAGAATATTTTTTTTATTAATTGTGTTGTATTTTAGCACTTGTGACTTTATGAGTGAGTAATAATCTTGTAATGAGTTGGATTCTCAAAGTATTTGTTACAAAGAACTCCACTTTTTATAAAATTAATCCAAGTAGCATATGAACTAAGAAGCTGCATCTTTCGTGGGCGTGGTGGTAGGACCAATTACCGATGAACAATCTCATCTTGAAGCAACTGAGGAAGCTACATTAAAAAAAATTCTAGGATATAGTTGAAAGTATATTCTGGAATTGTGGAAGAAACTTTCCTATAAACTTTACCACAGTTTGCATGACAGAGTTTTCATACTGGTTTACTTGCTCTATGACAAGGTTTGATTGGTTGATTTCCTCTTGTTTGCGCATATCCTCCATGTGTTGTACTGGTTTATTTAGGTCCTGTTTAGAGTTGTCAAAATTTGACCCGACCCAAAAAACGACCTGCACTGTATCCAACCTGTATCCAAAGAATAGGTGAAAACAGTGACATTGAACCTAAACCGAATAGACTCGACATTAACTGATAAATGAATAGATGATCAAGGGTTGAGACTAGGTCGTTGGACTAATCTTCCCTCGGCCAAACAAAATTTGTAATCTCTCAACACACCTTTATAGCTAGCATAGGAGTAAGTCGAGGGTCGAACCATTAGGAATGGGAGGTGAATTCTAATACTAAAGCTAAGCTATCTCGAAGTAGTGAAGTAAGGTGTATATTCTAAATCAATCAAGCAATCAAAACGAAATCAAATATATCAAACACTAGGGTTTAAGATCCACATATACTTGCAATGAATTCAACTTATTGGGATTGGAGATGACTACGTCGAGTGTTGCGAGGGAAAATGAATTAAGCAATCAAGAGAGTATGGTAGGCTAATCTCTTAGAGTCAAACTAGTGCCAACTACGAGAGACTCAAGCTAGGAACTTCACAAACCAACTCAATCGACAAATGCAAGCCATAAATCAATTGTCCGTATCAATGTGATCTTACAATGTAATCTAGTGCGAGTAACTAGGTTGGTCACTCCTAAATGAAACACACACACGCACATAATCAATCAACCAATTTAACCACAACATCAACTCCATCAATTTCCCCCAATTAGCATAAATCCATTACTCATATATGCTTCACCATTCCCCTAACAAGAAAACTACTCACAATTCATGGAAATCAATATCAAAACTAAGCTAAACAACAAATTCATCACCATAATCAAATTAATCAAGATAAAATCAATCAACTTGAACAATTAACAAAGTAATTGAAATCAAAAACTAAAGATTGCATTAAAGTAAAGAAATCCTTACAAACTTGCTTCAAACCAATGGAGAAAACACTTAGGATCATCAATCTTGAATCATCAATCAAGAACTTCTCTCTACAAACAAGAGTTTCTCTCTCTACAAATTAAAATTTAACCTAATTCTATTCTAATTCTAAAAAAAACTCTCTCTAATTCTCCTTCTCTAAAAATATAAGGAAAATCTATATATAGTAAAACTAACAAAGAGAAATTAGTTAGATCGTCCCAAATAGACCCGTACAGGCGCGGCCAACTACAAGGGGGAACGTGGCCGCACAAGACTGGGTACGGAACAAAGACCTAGAGAGGTGCGCCCGCGCCCGAGAGAGGCTCGCCCACGCCACCAGGCCGCGCGGCCGCGCCATAGTCGCGTGCGCCAGCGCTTGGGAATAGGGTAGCCCCTTTCACCATCATTTCAATGTTCCTCGTGCGTTCCACTCGATGCTCTTGATAAACACGGGATATGGCGGTTTCAAAACTCCAAGATTGTGGGTTCAACACGAGAATTCGTGCCCCCACAGCTTGAATGCACGGCCTAAGGTCTAAAGGAACCTGAACTTCTCCATGCTTAAGCTTCAAATGGAGAACATTAGGCATCCTAATCAATGCCAAACTTGTGAAGGGGCCTCGGGAATATTTGGATAACAACCTTAACCTGAAAAATGAAAGAAAATAAGCAAATAAAGGAGAAAATAACAAAATAAACCAAGAAATGTATAAAAATAGAAATTCAACTATTAAAATGCAAAACAAAGAAATAAAGAGTAAAATTAAGGAAAAACTAAAGAAAAGAGCAATAAAATAGCATGAAATCCACCCTAAAGAGAACCAAATGAGTTCCATAAATGACACTCATCGAATTCCCCCAAGCTAAA